GATACGGAGGAATTTTAATTAACGTTCTATTTTCTAGTTAAACTGCAAGGACATAACTGATCCCAGATCCTATCTACTAGCAGAATGAGGGTTAACAGATATGTGGAATAATCAAAGGTTGTATTCAGAGAGTAAACGATTCCAAACTTGGTTTAGACCAATGTAAGCTTATCTATTATTATTAGTAGTAGAAGTATGAATAAGGTTTTATAAAATAATATTTGACTTAATAAAAAAGTAGTAGACTTTGCATCAATCCTTAGCTCTATGAATGTCATTCACTACAAATTGCTTATTGTTTATTCCACTGTTACACAAACTGATACTGGCATAACAACTTTGTTCAAAGTAGGTTATTCTGTTGATTATTTTTTCAATTAACAATCAGATAGCCAAAGGTTCCTTTAAGTTTTTTTTTTTTACAAAATTAAACAAGGTGAAAGTAAAAATTTCCCACTTGAAGAGTTCTGGATGAAGCATATTGCCAGACAAAAATGTTTTGTTTGTTTTTTTATCTTAAATGCCAAACATTTCTTTTCTTTATTACAATTTTGTTACAACTGCTGCTCAAGGTGGATTGCATGTTTTACAGTCTCTATACTCCAGTTAACGATTATCCAGTTACTAAATTAGTTGACCATTATTTCAATAATCGATTAATCCGATTGTTTCAGCCCTAATTCAAAGTATGGTGCAGCTCTATGCATTCTGTAGGTTCTTGACTTAATAGCCTTAATTTATTCCTGTCAGACTTGCATTTCATTTCAAATCTGGGAGGTTGATGCTTTGGCTATGAATACACCATTGATATCCCACTGCACCAAATCTTTTGTATTTTGAAGGGAAGCAGTCTGAACTGTCCCTGGGGTGGCTTCACATCAATAGGTGATATTAAATACCCTGAAGAGTGCATGTGGTTAAAACCCACAAATACCACCACACACGCTCTCTCTCCTACACACACACACAGGCAGACAGACAACCCCTCTCCCCGTGGAGCTGACCGTGTGTTCCGGTCTGCGTGGGGAGTGGAGAAGCCATCAGGACAGAGAGAGAGAGAGAGTGCGCGCGTAGGGGTGGGGGGGCTGAAATAGCAATATTTGTGAATGGAAGAAGGCAGCACATGGAGATTTATCCATGTTAGGATACTTCTCTAATAACTATAAGAGCAACAAACTTTAACAGAAGCAAATTATTCTGCAATGTTTGTGTAATTGCTTTGGATGAATTGCGTATTTTAACGCGCATTTTGAAGATTTGTCTTCCTCTCCTCGTATCCCTGCTTCCCAGCATGTCTTGTTACCTATAGTTTGCCCACTCCCCCGCCCCCCTACCCAGTAAATACAATCAAACAGGCACCACGTAGTGAAACATGAGACATAAGCACCTCCGATATTTGCTCCAGAGCAAAGCCCGCATCGCAGTAACTCGGCCGCTGCAGATAGTCCAGATCCAGCGGTGCGCCGCGGGGATAGTCCCCCCTGTTCCTCCGCGTAATCCTCGGCCGGTCGGGCTCTCTGCTTTCCTGCTCGGAGGGCGCATTAGCAGCCGAGGCCATGTTGCGGGGACTGCGAGGTGGTTACCGTTTCCCACTTTATAGTATTCCCCTGAAAGCCTGTAGCGATATCCCGAGGAGACAGAGTTTCACTCGTGGAGACCTCACACCCGTGAAGTGGGACTTCATACTCCTGCTGGAGACGGCGAGTCAAAGTCTGCGCCTTCCATCCCAACATTTCGTGATCCGGAGGCTCCCCGCCGCTTTCACCGCTTTCACCTCGTCTCTTGTGGAAATGTTTGGAGAGGAAAAGAGAAAAGGAAAAAAGGACGAGTTTGTCTCAAAAAGCGCAGCGCGCAAAGGGATCCCAACGCGCAAGTGGTCGGGTAGGAAAGCTCGATGGTCGCAGCATTCTGCTCAGTCCTATGTGGTCTTCCCATGGGCTGCGCGTCACGGCCAACTCTGAGACTCTATAGAGGAGGGAGCAAAAAGACCTCAGAGTAAAGGAGGAGGGGTGAGAAAAAAAAAGACTCTAGATCCCGCCTCTGGGACTGTCAGATTGCAAGACTTTCTTGAATCTGATTGGTTCCAGAAGGGTAAAAATTACTGAGCAAACACGACTATTATTAGCTGCTTAGCAACAGCTCAGTAAAGTAGAGAGACCACCCAGGTGGATGGACCTCGTGTGCGTATCTCCAACTTCAGGGGGTGGAGACGGAGGAATCCTCCAAGAGAGGAAGCCTGATGTAGCAGGAGGGAAAAGAGAAATCCTGGACCTGCGCTTTGGATGAGAACTGATTGATGCCATGAAGTTCTAACCCACTCTTTACTACTTTCACCTCAGCCTCAGATTACACTGGCTCTAGTGGGTCTATGGTGCTACAACTACTGTTCAAGTACCATGGGTTGCACCCTGGGGCATCATCTGACCCAATACTATACAATAGGGCACCAAAAAAAAAAAAAAAAAAATTGGGGGCAATTATTTATTTTAAAAAGCATTGACACAGATAATTAATGCAAGCACACAAGCAAATATTTCAGATTATTATTTTCTGCATCATTAAACGTTGCAAAAATAATGCAACCATTCTTGGCATTTATTCAATCATATTTAGTTACTTAAACACAATTGCTTCAGGTTAGCTGTAGTAAATGCCAAAAGCGGTTGCAGTATTTTTTTAGTGAATATCTACCTGAACCAAACTGGATTGAATTGGCCCACTTTTGAACTTAACTGTATATCCCTAATCCACTACTGATGAAGGCACTGTTTATTTTCAATAAATATCTGTCAGCACACGTGAACTTGAAAACAGAGAATTGAAATGTGCAAATGTAAAAGGAAAAACAAGAACAAAAAAAAAAAACACCTCTACATACATACATGTCTGTGTTTATCATTTCTATTGCGGCCCATTATATGATGGTGTGATGGTCATGATCCTATGAGGTGTGTATATCATGGCCAGAAAGATAGGAGAGCTGTAAGTTAATTTTTTTAACAGTAAATGTTAGCGTCTCGGCTGTAGATCAGTTGTGAGTGGCTTAATTGGGAGAGTTCTCCTCTCTCAACTTCGCTGTGAGAACAGAGCTGATTTTTTAATTAATTAAAAAAATGTTTAATCAATTAAAAAATCAGTGCCCCAGGCATACCCAGGCACCACAGATCCACAATGAGTAAAAAAAAAAGGGATTTCATCCAGTTTGATATAGGCAATGTGGCTTCTTCCCCAGGGCAGCTTTTGGTCTGGGGGGGTTACATGAAGAACAAAACAGACATTATTCACACCAAAACGGATTTCTCATTTGCATTCTGAGAAGTGATTTCATAGTAAATGTAAATCCATTTATTGTCCCACAATGAGGAAATTTACTCTCTGCATTTGACCCATTCCCTTGGGGAGCAGTGGGCTGCCATTGTGTGGTGCACAGCGAGCAGTGTGGGGTTAAGGGCAGTGTTGGGAAAGTTCTCTTTCTACGTGAACTAGTTCAAAGTTCAGTTCACACATTTTAAAATGAACTAGTTCAGTTCATAGTTCATAATTCAAAATTTTGAACTAAGTTCACAGTTCAAAAAAATGAACTAGTTCATAGTTCTTTTTTTTTCATATATTGCTCAATTACACCATAGCCTACTGTAGAACCACAGACAGCAATTATTTTATCAGTTGTAACACTGAAACTGTGCGTCAGATTTCATCTTCATATCCAGTTTTGAATCCTTATCAAAACCAGGATTTACATTGAGGGGACAGCATTTCCCCATTGTTGCTTTAACGCTTTGTTGCTGTCCATTCACTTCACACTAGTAGCAGCTGCAGCTTTCACCCCTACAGTATATTCTCAAAAACATCAGGAAAAATGTGGTCTTTTTTATGAGGAATTATTAAAAGAAAAACAGGAAAGTAGTCTTTAAGGTGCAAATGTGTTTTTTTTTTTTTTTTTATAATTTTTTCCATTTGAAATCCCATTTCAGTACATACTAAAAAGGAATCTTGGAAAATTATACCAGGCAGGTTTAGGTGCGGATTTTTTTTACTGAAAGCCGGCGGGCAAAGTTTGCAGAGAAATGTAAGATTGTTGCCATCCTCCTCACCGACCACCTGGTCATAAAACTGTTTTAAGTGATCATACTGCTGCTTTGTCGCATCCACGGTTGCCTCCATGCTGCTGTGGCTTCCACGCTGCATTTTAATTTGATGACGCACGCGGCTGTAGGCTACGACACTGGTAGCTGGTGTTGCCAGATTGGGTGTTTTTCCCGCTACATATTAAGGCCTGTTTACGGTGTGATTTAGCCGGGGTTTCGCCTGGAGGGCTCTATAGAAATCTGGCAACCTATTGAACGGAGTTGAACTGAGAGAGCGTGCCGTTCACAGACACCAGAAGGAACGAGTTCACAATAACGTTCATCAGGCAGTAATACAGTACGTTCAGTTCACGTTCACCCAAAATATGAACGAGTTCATGAACTTACGTTCAATGAACGCGTTCAGGCACAACACTGGTTAAGGGTTTTGCTCAGGAACCCAGAGTGGAGGCTGTGGGAAACGAACAGGGTACTTGCAGCCTTCTCAGAGCACAAGCGATCTGCTCTAACCACTAGGCCAACACTCCCTCACTAGTATGTTATCTTTGTTGTTGGACGTCAGAGTTTCTGAACTCCCTGTCAAAAATCCAACAACAGCATATATGGTAAGGTTATTGCCTATTGAGCAACGGTGGGTATGACTGTGCATCTAAAATGTTGAAAAGGTTACCTGTATTAAGTATTTATCAGCTCTTACAAGTCTATATCTATAAAACAATGGCACACAAGCAATAATCTATTTACTTGTGAACATGTTGCTACAAGACTTAGACTTAGACAACTTTTATTGTCATTTTGTATACACCAAGTGCATAAAAAATGAAATTTCGTTTTGTACCGCTTTGATGACATTTCCTGTTAGAAATCCAGTTTATGTGGGTTGTTTGTGTGTTTTTCTCTCTCCATCAACAGGTGGTGCCCTGTCCTTGTTGGACCATTACTGGAGGAGTATTTGAGCAGTAGGCTGTCACTACCTCGAGGCCAGAGTGTTTGCCAGATTTGGGTACTCTAGCCAAGCTGAGATTAGCTGAGTCTAACCTGAGCCTTGTTTCCCTGAGTCTTGTGTTGTTTTTGTCTTTGCTCTTCGGGCTGGAAGTCTTCCTGTGTAACTGGATACCTGGACCTTCTCCCCCTGGAAGGATTTACTGAGTACATACTGAGCAGGGGAAAACCTCCACATGATCCGTTCAAGTTCCCATCGGAAATCCAAGTGACAGTCCGTCCATTACTCCTCTGGGTCCAACGTATGTCTATCTGTCCGCTATCCAACGAGTTCCCTCTTCTCTGGATAAACCCACAGAGACTGGATTAACTGATTGACAAGAGCCCCCTCAAACATGAGTCCCGTTCCAGCATAATTCAAGCCGCAATCTCATTTCCCACGGTCCCTGAACTGATCTCTGTGATCTCCCCTTCAGACTTTCCAATTCCGGTTCACCAGTTCTCTGAGTTCCAGATCCAACTTCGGTTCACATTGCTACAAATAAACCTTTTCTCTGTGTTCTCTGAGTGGTTTCATTGCATGTGGGTCAGATTCCTTAAAGCGATCATGACATTTCCATGAAAGCTGTTTGTGCTCAGAAGTCAATATTTCCAAATTCCAACTCACATTTAAACTGAAACGCATGGGCTTAGCTAGATGGAGAGACAGGGGTGGCCATGTCCCCCCTAGGCACTCCTTGGCCCTCCCTTTAGCCACCCTATATGTTGCCTATACTGAAGAGGTCACAGCGGACCGGGGTCTGGATCTAGACCCACCTGCTGGCTAATCCGGACTCAACCTGGTTTAAAACATTTATGAATTACTGCATGTTGTCCGACAACAGTGTCTAACTTCACTTGCGCCGTTTTTCCAGTTAATATCGTAAAGCCCTCTGGAGCGTCTGGCACCAGGTTGCATGTGATACAAATTAGCCAATGAGCTGTGTCATTCTGGGTTGCTGCTGTTAGCTACTTTTAGACACAACAGGCAAACCTGTAGTAAGCCCGGCAGTGGGAAAGAAGGAGAAAACAATGAGAAAATTAAAGTGTGGACTGCTGGAAAAAGCATGGTGAACTGGTAAAAGCAGCATTCTCCACCATGAACAAAAAATGAAATAAATATCGATCCAGGCTCATGAATGGGCACCTTGATATGTGCTTGAGAATGGCTTTGTCGCCATTCAAACCCAGTTTTAAAATCCTCGAAGGGCAGCCTAAAGCCCACTGCTCTCATTAAGCCATAAAAAAGAAAGAAAGAGGTCAGTTCAGGTGTTTTACAAAAGATATGAAAGTCAGGAAATTGTCTATATATCGAACTGTGAAAGTCTCAAAAAGCACTTTAGGTTTTAAAATGGAAAAACTTTCTTTAAAAAAAAAAAAAAGAAGTATAATACAGATGCATAAACACCTGCATTTTATTTCAATGTTAAGTGCTGTTTAAAGTAACAGATTATAATAAAAAAATGTCTCTGGACCTTTATTGGTTTATGATTTTGTTTTTTCAGACTTCACAGATTTTTAATTAATGACCCCGCCAGCTGTATGTGGACGTAGTTTATCACCTTTTGTTGGGATCTGGAGGCTTTGTCCACCTTCTCCACCAGAGGGTGGACAAGATCTCCTGAGGGCATGAGCTGACTGCGACACCTGTCTTCCATCTGCTCATCAAGGAAGCCCTATTTAAGGAGGAGGAGGCTGACACTTCCCTGCCAGAGTGTTTGCCAGTAATGGTAGAGCGAGACCTGAGCCAACCAACCTGATTTGTATCTCTGATTTTTGTGAACCTGCCTGACCCTGTTTCTCTCTGCCTCACAGATCGAATCCTGTCTGAAAACCTGAAATCCTGGAGATTAATCTCTGTCTGGGATCTGCCAGCCTGCACTCAGTTAAGCCTCTGCCTTTGCCCTCAGCCCTCTGCCTGCCGACTAGCCTCTGGACCCTCAAGGTCCCCCCCCCCCTGCAGATCAGTTCCACCTTTGAGCAGGTATTTACCCCGTCATCTGTAAAACTGCAGTTTACCTGGATCAACCCTAACTGCTCTGTCCTCCTCAGTGGTGTTCCTCCTGTGACCTGTCTGGCGAGACAAGAACCTGTTCACTTTAACTGCAAACTTGTAAATAAACCTTTGAACTTTTTCTCTGTTTCACGAGTGTTTCTGCATGTGGGTTAGACGCCTAGAACCCAACATGACACCTTTGGAACAAGCAGTTCCCATCTAAACCAGAGGGTGTCAGAAGAGTAGGCTACTGTAGAGTGTAATGTCCTAAACCAGGCATCTCCAACCTTGGTCCTCGAGGCCCGCTGTCCTGCAGGTTTTGGAGGTTTCCCTGCTTTAGCACAGCTGATTATAATAATTGCAGTAGACCAAAAGCCTGTTAATAAGCTTTCAATTAAAATCAGCTGTGCTGGAGCAAGGAAACCTCTAAAACCTGCAGGACAGCGGGCCTTGAGGACCAAGGTTGGGGATGCCTGGTTTAGGACACTTGTTTCAGCCTCTGTTTAACCAGACTTCAGAACAGTCATCAGTGCCAGATTATTCAAGTCTGTGGTGAGAGTTCTCTAGCGTACCTGTGTTTTCTGATTGCTTGATCCTGACTCGTTCTGCCTCTGGACCCCTGAGCCTGCCTGTTCCTGTTCTGATCAGTTTGCCTGACCTGTCTACTGCTGGATTTCTGCCTGTCTGTGATCCAAACCTGCAGCTGTTTCCCAGCTCTGCTCTGGATTTCCCTTCAGCACCTCTGATCTCCCGGCTTTGACTACCAAGAACGCACGTCTTCAACACCAGCTTTGCTTTGTTCCCTGGATTATCCTGCCTTCCTTCATCTGCTTTGTTCTGATCTTCTGCCTGTCCTCCAACCTCCAAGACATCAGCATCTGGAACCCTTTGGGTGGTGCCCGCCCCGTCTATTGAGCGCCAACCAGCTGAAATCAACCTCATCCTCTGGGCTCGGACTGATCTTTAAGAGCAGGTTAGTGACTCACACATTCATTATCATCCTCCACCAGATAGACGTAGTCACTAACCTGTTGTCTTCTCCTGCAGAGGTTACTGCCTTAAATGCCAATGCTGTTTAATGCAGTTCCATTTCTAATAAACTCTTTTAGAAATCAAACTGTATGTCTACCTCGAATACTGGGTCCTATTGTTCTGATCAGACAGACCCACAAGAAGAGAAATTTCAACAAGAAAGATATTGCTGGTTTAGGTCTTTGCCTGGAATACCATCAGGGATATTCATCTGACAGAGAGATGATTTTTCGCCTCCTTCTTTACACGCTAGTCATCTTAATTGAGAAGTGTCTTCAGGTGTGCAGCAACATGGGTCGGCCCAGCTACTTGTGACAGAAGCTCACTCACACCAGAAAAACAGCTAAACCCCAGAGACCCTAACAGACATCTCTTTTCAATAATGCTTCAACAGAATAATTTTTCTTAATAAACACATGAAAAATGACTCTAGACACCTGTGACGCTAATTAATGGACACACCTGGATTTAACATGTCCCTTTGGTCAGATAATTTTCAGTCTCGTATAGGGGAACCATAATTTTCATCCACACCTGTTTCAGGAGTTAATTTTTCATTCCGTTGAAGTATGGTTAAAAAGAAATGTTTGTCTTTCATTTGTTCATTTGCATATAATTTTTATTTATTCATTTTACAAGATTAAAATTATTTCTATGACAATATGGAATGTGAAAAAGTCTTTGGATTTTCTGTCAGTGAGCCCCAGGGAACCTGAGCCCCCAATGTAGCTTGCCAACACAGGGCTGTCAATTCTCACCCATTGGGAATGAGACTCCTGCATCTCCAATTTTTCATGCTAAAAAAGAACGGACATTATAACTCAACTCCATTCCAGTTATTTATATATAAAAATACCATGCTCCAGACCCCGTTTTTAACACAAACTCAGTACTAACACACACTATGTATATATATTTGAAGAAGTAGAACACCCAACCTTGGAGTGGGATTTTGAAATAGTTTGGACAGGCAACCCTTTTCACGGTCAGACTGAAAGGCTCTGAGGATAGGTGCAGCTATAGGTTGTTGGTTTTCAGAGGATTTAACTTAAACTAAGTGCAAAAATTGGTCTGAAAAGGGATATGAAGAAGTAGAAGCTGTTAACTCATACCCTTTCTACTTGTTATAGTCCTTAACATGAACAATTCCCCCTCCTAGTTTACTTATGAGTCAATACTACTCCAAAAGTACACGAGATGAGCAAATAAGTTATTGATTTATGTACATTGAAACATACATTTACACATGTAGTGGTATAGAAATATATGTATTGCTATACAAATAGCTTTCAGGTGCGAGGTTCAGGTTGGGCAAAGTGGGCGTGGTATATAAGAAGCCGCTGCGCCCAATCGGACACACGTCTTCCTCAAGCTTTGGCTGTGACTCGCGTCTCAGGGACTGACAGTCGAAAGGCATGACATTAGGTGCATGCTGCTCTGATCTTGCTGGTAGGTTTCCCCTCTCTTTGCACTATTGCTGCTCATTCACAGAAGATCTAAAACGGGTGTGATCATAGGCAAAACGCTAGTGATGTGCAAGTGAAGCCTCATGAAGCAATGAAGCTTTCCAACGCAAAGTGTTAAAAAAAGTTCATTACTCGATGCTTCATTCATCACTCACTAGTGACATCTGCTGGTGAAACTGTAACAGCCTTGTAACTCAGTTGGATCATACTTCCAAATATTAGGAAATGCAATATTGTCACAAAGTTTTCACCAAACTCATGTTTAGTAAGAGGAGAATCCTATTCAATTGTCATGTTTTAATTATTAAAATGATTTGTAGCCAATCTAATCCTTGACCATCAGTGGTGGTGTTAGGTTTTCTTTTGTCATGGACTTATTAGACAATGAAGATGTGTTACTTTAATGTATTGAGAACTGAGTGACTGTTGCTGCAGACTCTGTGTACTTTGAGCTTGAAACTTGCTTCCTTAAAGACAGAATGTGTTTAA